TCTCTCTCTCTCTCTCTCACACACACACACACACACACATTTCACTGCCTTTTTCTCCTCCTTTGAATTTGTTTAATTAGTATAAAACACTTACATTAAGTTACATGAAACTTTAAAGGAGTTTTACTCTAATCCTTGCATATTGCTTTACTTATTTAACTGTGTGCTGGATCGATAGCAGCAACAACATTTAACTGTGTGAGTTATCATCCAAATTAATCGAATTAAGGAGATCCTGTAGCAGTTTCTGACGTGGGTAACAGGGCTGCTTTGTAACTCAGTGACTAACTGTAGACACTTTTGCTTTTTATCAGCGTGTAATTAGCTGCTCAGACAACAGCAAGGTTTACCGAGGGAAGACTAGATACAACGTGATGCGCATCCGAGTGAGAATGACCACCCCAGAGTCACGGGCATTCACCTTTTCCATGAAGCTCAAGGATGACAGAGGTACTTTTCCTTTTGTGTTGTTTTTACAGACGTTACATACTGTGCTCAGTACAGTTTGCGTTGCTGTGAAGATGGAGCTATTGGCTATCTCTGAGAGTTTGTTGTCGCTTATTGTTTACTGAACAAGTGAGGCTTGTGGGGTGAGTGGCTAGAGAGCACCACTTGTATGTCCTTTTTCTTTCTTATCCCTGTGTTGTCTGTCACCTTGTTTTTCTTGTAATGGGATGTATATGGCCATTTATGTATAGATAAGATTCTCTTTGTCCCTGGCAGACAATTTGTCATGTCTAATCATTTGTGGGGGTGGTTGGCGGGTGTTCTGGTGTGGTTTGCTTCTTCTTTCCTATCAAACATCTATCGTCCTTTTCTCCCCTTCTTCTTTTTTATGTTTGTTACTTTCTTGTAACACCTCTAATCTTCTGGCGCTCATATGACCTTATGCAGTTGCGAGCGCCGTAAAACCTCTACTAAAACTAAAACTGACTAATCATTGTTCTCTTTTTATTCTTGGTATAGGTCCGTCCCTGGAGTACAGAGGTGATGAAGCAGGCTACCAGGGTGATGCTTTGGATCCGGGCATTATCGCCGGCATCGGTGTTGCTGGTGCCATCATCATTATCGCCCTCATACTGCTGGCCATCTACCTGTGCATACGAGCTCGCAAGGCCACCGTGAAAGAGGTGCCGGGAGGTAGCACTGTCGGAGAGTCGAGCGTCTACTACTCGGGTAGAGTTGCGCTTGAGATTCCTTCTGTAAATAGCTCTCACCATAATTATCTCATTGTGCTTCATTGTTTTCATGTGTGGGTTCTGTTGTTATGGGTTGTGGAGAGGAGGGATAGGTACATATTGTGGCATCAGTGACCAGATTGCAGTCAGTCCTGTAAAGCCATTGCTCTGCAACATTTAACTTCCTGTGTTCTATATTCCTAGTGATGCATGTAGGGGTTGCATGTGACCCAATTGGAAGTGAGGTATTAATGGTTTATTTTGAATTTCTAAAAGAACATGGTTTTTTTCTTCTTTTATATAAAGTTCCAATGGGGACTCTTGTGTGTGGGGAATGTCTTAATAAATTATTTTTCGTTCCAAGCTTCATACCCATCTGTTAAAATGTTAAAAGTGGAATCTATTTTTTTCTTTCAAGTTTTAAGCATATGTTAAAAGTATTCAGCCTCTTTACGATTAAATTTTGGTCTCCCTCCACTAGTTTGTGATTTTGCATCTCTCTTTGTCCCTATTATGATCATATAATCACCATATATTTCTTCCCTCCTGTCAGTATGTTCAAGTGTTCAGTTTGCTGCAGTACATTTAGACTAGAATGACAAAATCAGCTTTTGACATCTCAAAAGGGAAATGTGAAAGAAGTGGGGGGGGAATCCATTTTTGTTCAGTTTCTGTGACTGTGTCCAGTCAGATTTAACCAAATACTGGGTAATTAAATACATTTATGTATCTAGAGTTTTATTTGCTTGTTTGTGCTGTGTAGACTAAACGAATTGCTGATATCTAACAGGAAACCCATCATTTTCATGTATATGTGCTTGCTATATGTGTCCCTTTCCGGTCAATATCAGTCATATGAACGAAATTTCAAAACTGAGTTAACATTATTTTTGAAAACTCACCTTTTCCCAACAATTTAAAACAAGAATGAAGTAAATATGACCATATTTTAAGAAAATACAGAACTTTTAATTGTGCGAGTTTAGGAAACGTGAAAAGGAGAAAATGGCCTCCAAAGTTGAGCAACATGTTTCCATAGCAATGGGGGTCTTAAAATTGAGATAGAAACTTGAAAATTAGCAGTTATCTTGGCTATGCCACTATAAGATAACATACAGAAGAAGAAAACTATTCATTCACAGAGAAAAAACTTATGGAAAAAAACAGAATTTTCACGAGAATTGACTTCATATCAAATGCAACAAAATATTAGCATTATACTAGGTACCAGATTCAAAGTATCTGTTTCATCTGAAAGGCCTATGTCTCCTGACAATTTTAGTGCCATACTTTTACCTGTCAGTCATTGTTTAAGAGAATGGCAGCTGTTTCATTTAAATTGATATAATCAAATATTGCTGAAGTCGGTAACTGGTTGCAACCCCATGTTTGACAGAAAATAAAAGAGTACCAAGTGCCCCAAATATCTCTTCATTAACAGAGTACAATCATTATAACAAAGAAATGAAGCCTAATTTTTTTCATGACCGTGAGATCATTACAAATCAGTATTGTATTGCCTCAAACACGATGATCTGTCGTTATTTCAATTAAAACACCAAGAGTTGTCTCGGCCGGCGCCACACCAGCTCTCGGGACGATCCAGTTGGCTCATTACTGAAGTATACTTTGTACTCCCTGTAGTTTCGTGGAAGGATTCATGCAAAATAAATCCAAGCCGATGACTTTATTCTAATAGAAAAAGAACGGTTCTTTCTATTGGTACCTTTTATAGCCGGTATTTTACACATTTAATAATAATAATAATACTAATAATAAATAGCATTTATACTGCGCATTTCTATTTCCTAAAAGATGCTCAATGCGCATTACAATGAAAAAGACATCACATCTTAAAAATTAATCGACAAGTGTGTACGTA